GGAAAGATTTTTATGAGTGTTTGAAAATGGGTAATAGTGCAACTGCTAGAATGCACTTTGTTTTTTGGAGTGAATTTGCCATTAATTTTCTCCAAAACTATACAGTAAAAATATTTGAAAATTAATACAGTATTAGTCAGGGTGACTGTGAACAGGAATAAATTGAACGAACGAGCAAACCTGTAAAGGAAAGATTTTTATGAGTGTTTGAATATAGGACATAATGTAAAAGTGCTTATGCACTTAGATGCTTGGGGTGAATTTGCCTTCGATTTTCTCCAAAACCATATAGTAAAAATATTAAAAAATTAATACTGTATTAGTCAGGGTCAATGTGAACAGGAATCAGTTGAAAGAACGAGGAAACCTCTAAAGGAAATATTTTTATGAGGGTTTGAAAATGGGATGTGATGCAAAAGTGCTTATGCATTTAGATGCTTGGGGTGAATTTGCCTTTAATTTTCTCCAAAACCATACAGTAAAAATATTTGAAAATGAATACAGTATTAGTCAGTATCACTGTGAACAGGAATCAATTGCAAGAATGAGCAAACCTATAAATGAAAGAGTTTTATGAGTGTTTGAAAATGGGACGTGATGTAAAACTGCTTATGCACTCAGATGCTTGCTGTGAATTTGCCTTTTAATTTTCTCCAAGACTGACTTGTAAATTAATACAGTAATAGTCAGGGTCACTCTGAATACATATTAATTGAAAGAATGAGCTAACCTATAAAGGAACATTTTTTATGAGTGTTGGAATATGTGGAAATAATCAAAGTGGAGTTTGATGTTTTGGGTGATTTTGCTTTTAGTTTTCTCGAAAACTATACAGTAAAATGCCTTAAATGAAGACAGTGATAGTCAGACTCACTCTGAACACATATAAATTGAAAGAATGAGCTAACCTATAAAAGGAACACTTTTTATGACTGTTGGAATATGGGACACAGTACAAGTGCTAGGACGCATTTTGTTGAATCTATATAGTAAAAATATTTGAAAATGAACACAGTAATAGTCAGGATCACTGTGAACAGTAAACAATTGAAAGAATGAGCAAACCTATAAAGGAACACTTTTTTTATGAGTGCTTGAAAATGGGACATGATGCAAGTGCTAGAATGCACTTTGATGTTTGGGGTGGTTTTGCCTGTAATTTTCTTCAAAACTGTACAGTAAAATGACTTGAAAAATAATACAGTAATAGTCAGTGTCACTGGGAACAGGAATCAATTGAAAGAATGAGCTAACCTATAAAGGAACATTTTTTATGAGTGTTGGAATATGTGGAAATAATCAAAGTGGAGTTTGATGTTTTGGGTGATTTTGCTTTTAGTTTTCTCGAAAACTATACAGTAAAATGCCTTAAATGAAGACAGTGATAGTCAGACTCACTCTGAACACATATAAATTGAAAGAATGAGCTAACCTATAAAAGGAACACTTTTTATGACTGTTGGAATATGGGACACAGTACAAGTGCTAGGACGCATTTTGTTGTTTGGGGTGAATTTGCTTTTAGTTTTCTCCAAACTATACAGTAAAATAACTTGGAAATGAATATAGTGATAGTCAGGGTCACTCTGAATACATATCAATTAAAAGAATGAGCTAACCTATAAAGGAACACTTTTTATGAATGTTTGGATATACGGAAATAATCAAAGTGCAACAATGGAGTTTGATGTTTTGGGTGATTTTGCTTTTAGTTTTCTCCAAAACTATACAGTAAAATGCCTTGAAAATGCATAGAGTGATAGTCAGGGTCACTCTGAATACATGTCAATTAAAAGAATGAGCTAACCTATAAAGGAACATTTTATATGAGTGTTGGAATATGCGGGGGACGATCTAAATTATCTGGTAAATAGCGCCATCTGTTGGGTTTTATTAGCTAAAACTGCATTACATCACTGTGTTTAAATAACCTTGTATTTTGTTTTCCAAAATATTGTAAATTATACAGTTTTAATCTCCCATGATCATATAAATGTTGCCATGTTCGTTTTAGAAAAGTTTAGACCAAACGACTCAATCACTGCCTCTCCTTCAAGCCAGTTACTAGTTACACAAATATTACAGTAATTGCCTGATGCATCATAGAGTTTGCTATTCTATTTCTAATACAAGGCTTTTTAATATTTTTTTTAATTTATTTTACATTTTAGGACCCTCACCATGTTAACTGGCACTGTTCTAATTACATAATTTTTATAGGTTATATATGTATATAAGTATATATAGTATTACTACTCTATATAGTATTTATAGAGTAGTAGTGAGATTAAATAATATTATGGTACAATTAGACTAATGCTAACCGAGCTGCAGCATGTAAACTGCGCATATATAAGATATGAACCAAAAAGATAGCATAGTAAAGTGACAAAGATAAATAATGAAATAATAAGAACATACATCAAACATCTAAGATCAAATTAGAGACTTCATCAGCTTTATCATGAACAAAGTATCTTTAGATTTCACTGATCAGAGGTAGAATTACTAATTTAATTTTGTTTATTTTAATTAATTTAGAATTACATTAAAAAACAATTGAAAAAATAAACAAAATAAAATAACTGAAACTTGCAAATAATTACAGCAATAAAAGGTTAATATCAAAGCTCTCACACAATCCAGAAACATTTGACATGGTCAAATTATTATTATGCATTTCTGATGTAGGGGAATTTACCCAAGGACCAGGTATGATAAATGAAGACCAGAAGGAAAATTTACTGAAGAAAATAATTTGCAGTTTCATCAGCAGAAGTCAGCTTCAACACTCGCAAGGAGTTTGTAGGCCGCTCTGCGTACAATCTCAATACAACAGCAATTATACTCTAACAGAGGTTACTAACTATTTCACTACTTACGTAAAAAGAATTCTGATTAGTTGCAGAAAAACATGCAACATCTTAACAGATATGTCCAACACATATCCCCGAAGGTTGTTTAGGTATCAGGTGATTAGAGGCCACACGCAACCCCTAGCTCCTAAGACATATATCTACCACCCAATGCATACGGGAGGTGTACAGATGACCAGCCCTCCTGTGTGCGGTTATGAATCTCCCTTGAGACTGGTTCTGCACAGACAGATATCAACACACAAACACAGAGAATACGCAACTTCTTCAGACCCAAGCTCTAATCAGGAACTTTCCCCAAACATCCAGATATTAAGTACTTTTTCTCAGCTAGAGGTTTCAGACAATATTCAACATTGTTTTCTAATGTTTATAGATGAAGAATAAAGTAAATACTTTAATTGTAAATTTGTGTAGATGAGAGGCCCTAATGACCTTTGTGACCTAAGCTGTCCTAGTAAGTCAGAAAAGTAAATGTATGTTTTAACGTGTTGGGTGCCTTTCACAAACCAAGGACAGAGCACATTCCAGTGTGAGACATGTAATTCTATACTATTCAAGTTTCGCATCATTTAAGATTTCAAATAATAATATTAATTAATAACTTAAAGGGGTCATATGAAGCGATTTAAATTTTTCCTTTCTCTTTGGAGTGTTACAAGCTCTTGGTGCATAAAGAAGATCTGTAAAGTTGCAAAGACTAAAGTCTCAAATCCAAAGAGATATTCTTTATAAAAGTTGAGACTTGTCCACGCCCTCCTAAAACGGCTCGTTCTAACACACCCCCACATATCTACATCACTATGTGGGAAGATTTGCATAACTTTTATTCTCGCTGTAGTATTGTTGCTGCCGCCATGTCGTGAAGAGCTGTGTGTTTCGTTGTGAAAGCAAAACTACTTTGTTTGGCCTTCCAAAAGAGGACGATATCTGCTTCGTCATGCCTAGAGCTGATCCGTGCTGGTTGCTGAGGAAATACATCAACTTTGCGCTGTGGATCGCCGGATCGGCTTTCACTGTGGACGAAGCGGAGTCCAGCCCGGGGTCGTCACATGTGGTTGCCGCCGTTCTCAAGTCCACCGGCCTCTGTTCACTCAAGCCCGCAGTGTGTGACGCTGTGTGACGCATTTTATGTAGGACTGTTTCCTGAACCTGCAGACTAGCCTACAATGCGTCTGTGCCCAAAGGCAGTTCTATAAAGTGGGGCAATTCCAACTTTGCAAGGACAGTCTGGCGCTTCTGACTCACAGCCTGTAAGTACATTTTTTATATTTAAAGAATTTGCCACTGACGATTCAAACGCGAGTTTGAGCAGTGTAGA